TTTGGCTGGAGAAGATAATGGCTTGTTAGTTACAAGCTGGCTGCAAATTGCCCACACTGTCTGGCCTCATTTAACTTTCCCGTCTCCATTTCCCTATTCATCCTGCCCTGGGACCCTGTACCATGTTTGGTGATGCAGTACCTGGTCAGCTTTGGGTATGGTCCCCAAACTGTTGGCAAGATCCCCGGGGGGCCCTTAAATGGGACAAGGGAGGGACTGGTGGTCGTGAGGTGCTGGGAGAACGAACAGGTAAAAGTGAGGCCAGATGACCCCAGAGAAATGATAAGAAACTATTTCATGAACCAAATTCCAAGTCAGGAGGGTGGCCTTTCCCTGGGGAGGCTCTGAAGCGTTCCAGGATGGAAAGTGACACCAACAAGCTGTTACCCTGTCCACTGTGCCTGCCCTCCCCTGGCTTCAGGATCACGTGTCAGCAGGACCTTCCTGTTCAAAAGGAGACCAGCCAGTGCTGGGCGCACGTCTGTGACGGAACCTCTTTTGGTTGATGTCTATGTGCTGATTTATTTACTGCACACAACCAGCTTTGAGTACAATGCATGCCCTCTGTACAGAGGGACACTGAGCAACAGAGACATGAAGTGAATCACCACGTGATGACACTGCCTTGACGGTGGTCGCCAACCTTTCGGACCTCATGGATCACCAGTGGTCCACTGACCAGTGTTTGGGGCCGCTGCCTTGGGATGTGCTGAAGCCTGCGTTTGAGACCCCATCTCTGTAAACCCGTCACCTGTCTTCTTTCTGCTCTGCTCATATAGTAGTTAACCTTAATTGTGCCACAAGGTCTCCTCATGCTTCAGCAATGAGTCCCTGATTTCTTCCCCCCAGAGGGGCTGGGATGCCTCTGGGCAGGACGGAGCTCTGAGCGAGTCCTCATGTGCTTTTCTCCTAGATCTCTGAGTACTCGTTGATGCTGCTGGTGGCCTCCGGGTCCTCAGGTTCCTATGGCTTCATCCCATGGAAGCTGAGGTTGCCATAGTAGACCTCCCAGTGTTCCTCTGACAGAGGGGGACCCTCTGTGGGCAGCGCTTGGTTTGGGGGCTTGTCTAGCCCAAGTTTTCGCTTGGAACCCTGAGTGAAGGAGAGTAGGGAGTCAGAGAAGAATAAGACAGCATGGTCCCGAGGGGAAGTTGGGCTGAAGGAACAGTTTTCCAGTCATCCTCTTATTCCACACACCTGTCTTATAAACTCAGCTATTTGCCCCTTCAGTTAAAATTCTGTAATACTACAACTGATTAGACCATATGGAGGGCCTACTAATCACATTTCATCCTCACAGACACCCAGTAAGGATGATACTCTTATCCCCACTTACAGATGGGGAAACCGAGGTGAAGGGAGGTGAAGTAACATGCCCACAATGGATAGAAAGTAATAGTTTTGGGGAGATGGTTCTGGCAGCCTGGGCCTATCAGAGTGGTGAGGTGAGCTCAATGATCAGCAGGCCTGAGGCAGGAGGCTGACCATGGGCTTTGGGAGATGA